GGCAAAATAGCATGACCTGTTATTGCACCAAACACTGCAAAACCTATAGAAAACTGAGGTTTCAACACATGATTATTATTACCGTTACCATTACAAAGTAAAAGCGATTTTCGCTTCAAATTATGAAGATTTTGAAACTTAGGTTACGTCAGTGCGCACCCCTGAAATTGAGAAATACTGCGATTTTTCCCATAGATTTTGCCTGTCTCGGCAAAAAAAGACAAATGTTAGAAAGAGGAGAAAATTCTGCATCGAATGGTGACTGAAATGTTCAATATTTTATGTTCTACGAGGTTAAAATAGGTTGATTGTAAAATTTGATCACTTCAAAAAATAAATCACTTAGAAATTTTGAAAGACATGCCGTAGGGCTACAAAAAGTTGCTTCTGTTGGCAAAAGGTTTGCCCTATCCCCTGGTTATCACGGCTCCTCCGAAGGTCTCATACAAAAATTCTGAAAATTAGCGATAGTTGGACATGGTGAAAACGAGAGGTTGTGATTTCCAGCAAATATTTCGTCACTCTCGTAACGAAACACAATGGTAGTTTAGAAGCTGGAAAGAGGAAGAAATTCTGCATTGGATACATTTTGAAGCGTTTGTTTATCTTCATTCTAGCGTGTTTGCCGATGGATTGAAAAAACCGACAAAACTTTCGGACCCACCTAATATATTTGCAATCATAGGATCTTTGCAGTTACATTTTTTGATAGCAATCAAGTGATTCTCACAGAAAAATGGAGTGTGGGGCAAAACTTGCGTGATTAAGGACTTTCCTTTCATTCAAAACTTGATTAGAGTACAAAGTAAGATCTTTCAATGAACATAACAACACTGTAACTTTCGATGACATAAGTCTAACAAAGCACAGCTGGGGTATCTCTGCGCTACAAGCTCATCTTAGCTATTAGCTAGAAACCATTGGTCAGTTCCTTGAAGGCTCTTTAAACGAACCTAATAAAATAGACCAGTACAGGCAAATTTCGCCTGTTTGACACAATATTTTCTCATTCCTTTTTTGCCGAGATGCTCTTGACCTCAGAGACTAGCTTAGTCACATATCTAACTTCGTGATGTGCCTTCTGGATACCACATCATTATAGCGTGTCATCTTATACATCTATCTCTCATCCTTGATTATCGCTATAATCCAAGCAAGCTGTCGTTGTTGGGGTAAGCCGAACGAGGATTTCTACCCGCCGAGGCACGCAAGAGTTTCGCTCATTTGCCCTGGTGCTCATCCTTTTTTCTTTGCTCTAAAACGCCCGTATATTTCTATTTGGTCACGTACTGTGCCTGGACATTACTAGTACCATCATTTCCACCCATCATGAATCTGAAGGCAGCATCACGAGCATCTCATCGAGAGTTGCTTTCCTTCAAGAAGTTGAGCATGTCATATGTTCGTCTCATTTTATGTCTTTAATCTGGTGCACTGTCCATGTATAGTGCTTCAATAAATAATCAAATTAAATGATTACAAAGTGTCAATTATAATAACTAGGTTGTCAAGTTTTTTTGCGACAAAGTGTATCACAGCTTGACTCCATGGTGGAGGGATAGAACTAGTGTATGCATGTGTGGTATGTAGCTTTCTTTATCGCATCAAGATCACCAGTAGTAGTTTTGAAGTGACTGTTGTATTAATACAAAAATAAGCTAAAAACTTCCATGATGGTCTCAAGCATAAATCAGCAATTACTCACTTATTTATTTATTTATTTATTTGTGCGTAGGGGTGCCCCTATGAAAAAGAAAACAAACAAACAACAACAAACAAAAAACAGTCAACACCACAGCACCTGAACAAAAAAAGGTGTTAGTGTGTTTTCAGGTAGCCTCTCAAAACTTTTTTGAACATTGCGAGTTTAGCCACGAACATTCTCTTCCTCAAAAGTTTATCTACATCATGTGCCACTCGGTACGTGAAAAAGTGTCTTCTGACATTTCGCCTAGCCTTTGGTAACACAAGCTTTCTAAGTCCACCTCTAGTATTCGAGGATCTAGTCACAAAAAATTACTCAAATCAAGCTTGTATGTTCCAAATATTATTTTGTGCACCGTGATAAGATCGAATTTCTTTATTCTATAAGCAAGACTTGAGAGCCCAAGATTTGCATTACGGACTTGACTGCATTGTATTTGATCACCAGTGCGTCACCTCTGCTTCGCAGAGGTTCGCACTGGCTCTACTTTCTATGTGCCTTATTCATTCTCGTAAAATCGTGGCAGTGGAACTCACCGCACTATGCCGACTACCACGAATAATATGTAAGCAACCACTCATTTAGAAAATCTTTTCACGTGAGATCGGTGATTTCGAGTGGATGAAACTTTTCGCAGGAAGACAAACGCAAATTTGAATAGGTTTTTGGGTTTGTCATGACTTGGTAGTCGCCATAAAGGTAACGATAACCGTGAGCTACATCTCTGTGCGAAAATCTTCTCAAACGCTTAGCTAGAACCTTGGCAAATTGACCATTTACACAACCAATTCGTTATGGCGCCGTTTTCGTTATGTAGTAAACTTTCGACCACTTTTCTGGCTAAACTCCATCGCTTGCACATTTGCTTACCAAACTCATCCACGACTCTGCAAAAAGTGGTGATACGGACCGACTTTTGCGGTACAGAAGCCAGGTGGACCCGTTTGGCGCGCAAATTCTGAGGGATCCACTCAACGAATCTACTCGTGCTTTTGCATATTGGACTTTCACGAAGGTAACATGCGCTATACAAAATTTGGGCTTAGAACGTTGGCTGGAACACGCTCCACGAATTTCGTAACAGACAGACACACACACACAAAGTCACGTAAACATCCTTAGCCCGTTATTATAATACCAGTGCGTCACCTCCGCTTCGCGGAGGTTCGCACTGGCTCCCTATCCGTATGCCTTTCTCATGTTCGCATGAGAATGGCTTTGAAACTCACCACGCGATGCTGAGCACCACAAATTAATCGTAAACAACTGTTCATTCATGAAGCATCTCCATGTAAGATTGGTAATTTTTAGGAAAAAAACTTTGTTGCAAGGAAACAAATGCGAATTTGAAAGGATTACTGGATTTATTCTAGTTTGATGATCGTCATAAGGATAATAGTCACCTAGGGTTACATTTCGGTGCAAAAATCTTTTCAATTTTTTAAATAAAACCTTGCCAAAGTGACTATCTACGCGTTGATCAATTTTTGGCGCTGTTTTCGCAGAAACGCAAACTTTTTGAGCACTTTTTGGGTTAGAATTCATGGCGCGCAGAGTTACTTGTCAGGCAAGTCATAACTTTGCAAAAAGTCGAATTAGCCACCCAATTTTGCATGCCAAAAGGCGCGTGGACCCGTTTGACGTGCAAATTTTGAGGGACCCGCTTATCGAACCGGCTCGTTCTTGTGCATGGTGGGCCTACACGCTGGCACGGTATGTTATGCAAAATTGCAGCCCGATAGCATAGTTGCAGCTTCCTCTATGAATTTCGTGACAGACAGATTTTCACACAGACACACAGACAGACACACAAAAAAACAGACGGCCTTAGCGCGTTATTATAGTAGGATAATTTGATCATAATTGAAACCAACCGTCCTAATCAGTAACTTTCTTGTGAAACTATTTTGTACTTTCTCCAAGTAGTTGATTGCCTTTTGGGTATGTGGACTATAAATGACGGTACCATATTCCAACATTGGTCTAATAAAGGTCTTGTAAGCCTTCAAAAGAATTTTAGGATCTGTACATGACAATCCTCTGTACAAATTGTAAATTGCCACCGTAGCCTTGTCTGCAATTACTTTACAATGCTCATTATACGAAAGACTACTTGTGACCAGAAACCCCAAGTCTCTAATTGGGTCAACAGCTGCAAGTGGGCTACCTCCTAAACTGTAGGGGTGTCTTATATTACTGGAACCTACGTGCAGTATTTTTGTTTTTTCTTTTGAAATAGGCAGACCCCATACTAATGACCAATCAAGCACCTCATCCAATGCATCTTGTAAATGTTTACGTCCAACGTCATCATTTACAACATTGTAGAGCTTGACATCATCCGCGAATGCGCTGCAAGAAATCCTTTAGATAATGGTATGCGAAAAGGCTCATGAGTGAAGATGTTGAAGAGAATAGGCGAAAGAAAACCCCCCTTGGAACCCCACATTGCATAATTCTAGGGGAAGAAAACGTGCGATTGACTGGACCATGAATGTCCTCTCACTCATGAAAGCTTCAATCCAAGCTACAATCCGTGGATGTATTTCTACGGCTATAAGTTTGGAAATCAACTTACTGTGAGGGACTTTGTCAAATGCTTTCGTAAAATCTAAATAAATCACGTCAATACTCTGACCTTTATCTAATTATATTGTCCAATCATTGACAGCTTGTAGCATAGCGGTAACAGTAGATTAACCGTTTTGAAACCCGTGTTGCTCACTTGCTATTACCTTATAAGTCTCTAAATGCTTTACATGCCTTTTCAGTATTTTCTCAAATAGTCTAGCGAAAATAGACGTTTTGCTAACTGGTCGATGGTTTTCTGGACTAGTAAGATGCTTTTTCTTAGGAATAGGTCTGACAAAAGACACACGCCAACGATCAGGAATTTCTGCGCGCATCATGCTCAAATTGAAAATGTATTGAAGCGGCCCACTCAGTATATCTGCTATTGATTTGATAAAACGTAATTGTACGAACTTACTGTTTGATGATATGCGAGACTGTCTTAATGATATGTTGACATTCAGCGAATTTTTTGGAAACCTTTGTCACTGCATGTCTTGGTACTTTCTAGAAAATCTCCGTGAAGATAGAAGCTGACAGATAGTGACAAGTTTTTCAGAATTCCCAACTCTTTGTCGCTCCAGGTCTTCGCGTTGATGGTAACACTGACACTTTTCTAATTCCAACCATAATCCTCCAGAACGAAAGGCGCTCGGTTCTCTATTTCAAATTGTCGGAGCCAGTCTCATGAATATAAAAGGTACAGATTTGAGAGAGATTCAATAATCAAACACCATTTATATAAAGACATTATATAACGGGTTTTCGAATATATCCAGAACGAAAGGCTTACAGCGTCACGAATTTTGTGACGTCAAAATAAGCGCAAAATCTTGTCGGAAAGCCTAATAAAGAACAATTTTTTCTGCTTTATAACTTCATCAAATTCATAATATCTATACATATACATATAGATATTTACAGCATCAGCACCTCTACTCGAATATAGATTTTAGATCTAGAGCCACTAAACAAACATTCCGAATCAAAGGAAGAATTGAGCGAGAAAATTTGCAACACCAAACACAATTATGGAAGAATGAGCTATTAACTTGAGCGGTGTCAGTTTGTTTTGCAAATGTTGTTCTTTCATGTAGACCAAGCAAGGCAGTGCGTATGTGTAGACAACTCCAGTGACAGCACCAACATATCTAAAACAGAAACTCTCTAATAAAAAGTTTTATTTTCCTGCCAGCCTTATCTAGCAGAATAATTTAAGATAATGTGAAATTGTCAAAAAAATTCACGTGTTTTCTACGAGCGAAACAGAAAAGCGCACAACCTATCGACTGTTTGAAATGATGTTTGCTGTAGCATAATTGCATGCAGCGAAGCTCCAAACAAAAACTCGCTTGTGTCCAAAAAAAGGAAATCGAGCACGCCTCTCATGAATAATGCTTTACAGGGATCCAACGCAAAAACGCTAACGATAAGCCGCGCACGCAGCTGCACCTGCGCTGGCTTCAAATCGCAGAGAGGTCATTTGAGTAGAAGATACTTAATCAGTGATAAGCTTTCAGCCTTTCTTGATTACGTCTGTTCATTTCTTTTTGGTGTCATAAGTTGCATAGGTTGTACGTTTTTGTCCGTTTTCACTTTTCATTCCATTATCTGCTTACATATCTTATTGGTCTTCCGGGTTAACTTACTATAAGATAAAGCAAACTCTATAAGGTGGCCCCCGAATCTTTGCACAGACTTCATTCCACATCAAGTCAAAAATCGAACTTACTAGGTTGGCACAGAAGTAATGCAGCTTTTTTACATAACTGTGTCTTCGTGAACGTAGCGCATTTATTGGCAATATAATGATTATGTTGTGAACTGCAAATGCAGACATTTTTGTCGATTTTGCCATCTTATGTAAGGGTTGCGGTAGGTTTACGGTATAGTGGGAGAAATTTTAAATTACGTCAAATTTTGCTGAAACTTGGCCTATGGGGGTTATTTGACATGCTGTTCACAAAAGTGAGACCCGTTTTGCATGAAAGGCAAAACGGGTCTCACTTTCGTATTGCCAAGATAAATTTCATCTTAGCAATGAGAGAATGTGATATTCGTATTCACAATACTGGATTAGCTATTGTGCAAAGTTTCAGCGGTCTGGGGTTTCGTAGCTCAATTATTGACAGATTTCCCTTTAAATTTGACGAATTTGAGTTCTTATACTTCTCAAAGGTGCTTTATCTTGATTTGTCTCTAGATTTATGCCTTTTTATCAATTATAACGCGTCAACTTCTGGCTACATGCTGCCTATAATGCCTTTATGATATGTAATTCAAAATTTGTACGGCTTTACTACTTATTTTGCCAAAAAGTGAAATCTCGATTTCCAGCAGTTTTTGAGAAATGCTTACATTTTACTAATACGCCGTTAAAATCAAAAGGTTTGCGCAAACATGCTGCTCACGTCACATTCTAAATGATACCAGAGGATGAGGATGCTTAATGAATGAGAAAGAAGTTATGGAAAAAGTTGCAAACCCAATGCCAACCTAATAAAACCTAGAAACTCAAAAACTCGAGAAAAATTCAAAGCTTTGCTTGAGAAAAATTTCTAGGAAGCTCTAACTTGTTCGCACATAAACCTCTCATCTAACATTCATATGCACATTTGCTGTATTTTTTTCATTGCTAGAAATCGAAAAAAACGAAATTTGGTATGTTTCTTCCAGAGTGATGCTGAGCAGCTGCCTGGTAGGTATATAGTTCTATAGCATAAGCCTTGGTAAGCACGATCACAAATTTTTCGGCCTTTTAGAAATGATCTAGAAATCTTAAATTTAGCGTAAAAAACCGAAAAAGCGAGTTTTTGTATTTTCGGCCTATTTCTGTTTCCCAGTTTTTAGTATTGGAAAAATATAGGAAATATTCATAAACATATTATATATGCGTGAACAAATTAGAGCTTTCTAGAAATTTTTCAAACAGAGTTTGGACTTTGTTCAACTTTTTGGGTTGAAAGTTTTGGATTTGATTTTTGAGTTAATGTGAAACTAACCAGGGTCCAGCAAAAGGCTGCATTTGAGAATTTTAAGAACGAAGTTCCCTTTGACATTGCAGAATTCACGAAACACCTATTGTGCTGCTTGTCTGAATAGCTTAATAATTTGCAGCAAACGACAAATGGATAAAATGAAGCGAAGACAAGGAATTTCAGGAATAATGGCGGTTTTAGTATCATCAAGGAGTGTAGCAAAGTAGAGATTTAGGAACTTGTAGTACGGTAAGTACTCAAAGGTAAACACCTTCACCTAAAGAACAGATTTATGCATTTAAAAAGTTCGAGAAACTATGTGAGAAAGAAGGAAAATTGTGACATTTGTGGGATTGCGCAACTTCTTCAAAGAGTCGCTGCTATCGAAAGGATCCCAAAACGCCAGTCCTCGCGCGCTGTCCCGCCATCTTGCTCGCTACTTATGCCGCAACTTACCTCCATAAAGTCACGTACGTCACATGTGTCTACCGCGAGTGGTCGGCTTCAACTCACTCCAACTACCGATCGATCAAGCAGTGCGCTGTTCCTCAACTCACGCGAAGACCATCACCACGCAAGGAAGACTGGCACGTCGCCTCGAGGTAACCCATTTGTGTGCTTCTTGCTTCCCACAGGCAGGGGAGCACCCCGGGGGAGGGGAAGAGGGGTTCTTTCTACCCGGCCCTTAAGTAACATATTTACTGGCGTGTTCTCTGCCCATTGTATTTAATTGTTGTGTGTTGGTTGGGATTTTGGATAAATGGTTGGCACTTAAGAGTCGTGATATCTGACTAGGGTGTTGGGCTATGGCTTAGGCCTTAGCCCCAGGAATATAGGTGCGCTATTTGTGTTCGTTGTGTTCATGATGTGTTGAAGTCCTGGAAGGTTCCATCAGATGGAGGATTGGCATGATACTAGTTAAATGCTCAAGTGCTAGTGATCCACAACTGCCAACAGTGTGGGGAACGGCTTGAGACAGCTGGCAGTTGAGATTAGGGTGTAGCTTGGTAGCCTAGGGCCTCTAAGACGCTTAGGGTATCCGTGTTATGGCAGGCCATAAGAACTGACGCAAGCTAGCTACCTATCCTCATGTGTCGTTACCTCATTTCTCGGATGGAGTCTTCAGCTCCCCTCGCCGATGCAGGAAAGCACTATACCACTAACTTCTGGAGCTGGGGATCCCAATCTGCGGCAACATTGTTTGGTCCCGCGCAACCTCAGTGTGCTCCCAGGTTGCATGGAAGCGATCCGAGAAACGAAAAAGTCTTACAACTCCTCTCATTCGGATAATTTTTTCATAATTTTTCGTACTTCACTTTTGGTCATCGTCACAGAGGCACTCACTTAATTTGGTGGCTCAGTATTGCTTACGCGTTGTAAAAAAAAACTGATTGTTTATTTTCTTTCCACTGAAATAGTGTTTTATCAAGTGAATTCGTGTGCACACAGGTTTATGCGTTAGCCGTGTTTCTAACATGATATTCTGCCCGTTACTGGTGAAACACGTTAGAACCTCAGATGACTTACTAAGAGTTTGAGTCAATAGTCAAATTTCGGGGAATTCTCTTGGAGAGTGTATGGGTTCCGTCTTGCTTTTGCCATGCAAAAAACGACATCTAGGGTTAAAGGCACCATCTCTGCCGAGCCCCTGCCGAGCCCTGGAACTAAGTCTGCGCAAAAGTTTAGACGCCTTTTTGTAGAGCTTGCTTTTCTTTATCTTGTCTTATTGTTAGAGCTTTTCTAAGAGTCAGGTGAAAATGAATGGAACTCATAGAACAACCCAATAATACTAGCGACAACCTACCTAACAATAGTTCCTACATTAGGATAGAAAATTGCAACCAATGCTCCACAAGTGGCAACAATAATATTCAAAATCAAAACATATCGTAGCCTGAATCCTAACTACCATTTTCTTTCGAATAGTAAAAAGAACAGTAAGTGTAAGCGACTCACCCTGGATATGACGTTTTGAAAATAAAACAAGAAAGTTGCGTTCTTATAAAGAATGTCATAATTGGTGTAATCGTTATCAGCTGAAACAGCAGAAGAACTCGCGCAATTGCACCATAAATGTAGTCTGCGCTGAAGTTGTTGAGGAGATTCTGAACAGAGGTCTTTGTTTTGATTGTTATTCATGGTTGACTGGAAAAAATTGAAGTTGATCTAGCAATCTAAGGGTGCGACAAAAATTGAGAGTCGACTTTGCGCAGTTTACTTAGTTAGTTATACCTGTCCAATTTTGTAAGAATTGGATTTACCAAACAAATGCTTCTGCAGAGCGAGAAATTCAAAATACTCGATGTTTACAATTTTTTCGTAGCCAAATGCTGTAAATATTCTACAATACTTTGATGCAAATAATGTGAAGGAGGCTCTGCGCTATCGCATCGTAGCAGTTGCGTTTGCCAGAAACTATTCCTTCGATAACCCTAAATAAAACTTTGCGAATATCACTTGCGCCAATGGCCCACCTGTCTTCGAAGCAAATTTGAAAGCAATAGAAGCGCAGCAGGCGTTGAGTTTTAGGTTTTAAGTTTTATTCTGATTATAAGTCTTCTTAATAAACATCTAAGTAAATTCGGTCGATGGAGCAATTTTATCACTTGTTTTAATTTCTCGATTCCTTTCGCGCAATCGCATCAGACTTCCACTATGCGAGTACAGTTGCCTTACTTGAAATTTTAAACTTTCAACTAAACATTATAAAAAGATCTCTTCGCAATAGGTCGTAGACAGTGGCGTACCCGGGATTTCCGTTCGGAGGGGGGGGGGGGGACGACAAATATTTTTTGGATGAAGGTGCATGGCGTTAGCCCACACTTTGAAGAAGTTTTCGGGGGGTTCCCAAAATTTTTGCGGGCCCCTGACCTCGAAATTTCAAAAAAGAGGGCGTGGCAGCAGCCACGCCGCCGAAAAAATTTTTTGCAGAACTAATCAGATTTTTTAAAATTTTCAAAAATTATTTCAGTTATTTACAAGTAAAACAAATCGCTTGCACACATTCAAGTACGTTCCCCCTCTTTCGATACGCCACTGTTTGTAGGTACAAGCTTGCTCTACCAAACGCACATTCGCCAAAGTTGTGAAGGTGTGAGACGAATTCCATTATGACTGCCTACGTGCCACGGCGGGTCGAATCGTCAAGATAGTCAAAAGGAAGTAATTTCAAAATTTGAGAGTTGCGCTGTATTTCTAGAGGTTCGAATCATGCATGCACCAAACCACCTTTTGTTTCCAGGTATTTTCCATCTGTTTCTGAAAAAGTACTTGGCTCCCAGACTTTTGCCGCACTTTAAGCTAAAGCACACTAACGTAAGACACCAATATACAATTACTCAACATTCAAGTTAATTGTCACGATTTCATATCTTCAAAAACCTACGTCATGTATACAACTCTTCGCGAACGGAAATGACAAATAGAAGGCGACTGCAACAATGATATAGCTAATGCCAGCCAGGGCAAATCCGAGGCTCAAATCTCTAGTCTGAAAAGGAGAAGCTCCAAAATAGCGCTTGATATAAGATCAGCAACTTACATTATTTTCGGGATATTTCTGGTTTCTAAATATCGTTAAAATACCCATATGAAGAAAGAAAGACACCGTCAGAGTACCAGTAAGTGCAGGAAATCTCCAGCTGATTGCTATAAGGTGAAGACTCGAATTTTTGCTGCTATTTGTAAAATTGAAGCATCTAAGTAAGTTTTGGAAAAGGAGGGATGAATTACAAATCACTTGTGTATGCGTCAAATGAGGACGTAAAGGGCACAGGGCCCGGCACGAGTCGGTTTCTAGAGTTTCTAAAAACGAAGTCTCCCCGCTTTCGGAAGTTTTACGAAGTACCCTTTGACCTACCTGCTTAGGAGAAGATGAAAACAAGAAAGATTTACTAGTCTGAAAGAAAAGACGTAAGATAAGAGTGAAAATCCAAGTTAGAGCTGAATACTACGCATGCACAAGACTTTGGCATTGCGCGATGTTTAACAAAGCGAGAAGAAATGAAGGCAAAAAACAAAGAAAAGGCAGTGATATGAAAATGTCTTTATGCTCAGGGATAGATTTTTGACCGGGGAATCCGTCCATGCTAAAAAGATCCGAAACTTATGTGAACTGACGAAAATATATGCTCCAAACGATCTCAGATCTCTGGTGGCCGTCTGGAGACGATCTAAGTTTGGAAAAGGTATTACTTCACATAAGTTTTCGAAACTTTTTGCATAATCCTTTCGCAAAAATTTTCTATACAAACAGTTCAGTTTTCGTGTCATATGCCTCTGTGTGCGCTGTAAGCAAGCAATTTGTTCATTTTAGCCTTACTTTCAAATCGCGCGCACTTTTCGCCTCACACGATAGAGCATGTCAATCGTGTGATAACCTGTCCGAAAATGTGTTTGACTAAGCGCTTATTCTTGGTGCTCGGTTCCGACTCGTCAAAAGCAATATCCCCTTTGCTGTTTGCTTCAAAAACGAAATCCAGCCTGCTTCCAGGCGATCTGTGCCGGGCCCTGGGTATTTGTACTGCAGAATAGGTTGGAAACTTTTGCGGCCTGAGAAATAGTTAAGAAAGGAATACTCACGAAAGATATTATTATTATGACGAAGTGATATTAGCCGCTATATGTTCGTTATGATCACAAATTCAAATTCGTTAAAATCTTTTTTTTTTTGACAGAATTCACCGAAATAGTGCGATGCTTGATTGAGGAGTAGTTCGGCGAAAAATGAATCCCCTCCAAGTATTTTGATGAAGGCCTCGCAACGATATTCCTTCACTCTTGACGAGGCCGCGGTAAATAAAAAGTGAGAAAGCCGACGTTTTACAGAGAGTGCCTCAAAAGCACTATTTTTGCCTACGACTGTATCGCTGGTATCACCGCTCTACATTGATCCCTATTTCCAGAGCTATAACTCCACCTCATATTACTAAAAGTGCTAAAGTGGCCTGAATGGCAAACACTGATCCTTGCACTTATAGGATTCACTCATCTTTTGAGACACTTTACTCCTTTACAGTGTAAATCTGATCGCGATCTTGACGAGAGACGAGACGCAAGACGCATTGCGCTCCTTTACCCGAACATTTTGGTCTCATCCCGATCTGTTGTTCGCTTCACGGAAAAAAGCAACGCTCACACTGAACATATGCCTCCGACGTTGGATCTGTTAGAGATACATAAATTCCACATTTGAATAGTCGAGCTGTAGTAAATACCACAATATAGATGATAGAGATCGTACCAAGAACACCGAATTTTGTGAAAAAGGTGGGCGATTTGAAATTCAGTAGCGAAAATATTATAATGGCAATGATGATTGGAACGGTGAGCTGAAACAGTAGTGGTCATAGATCTTGAGAGGGAAGCAGCGCTCTTACCCTCAGCTGCCACAACTGGTGAAATGTCAATCCGAAAACAATCACCGGTTCAGTCGAGTTGAAGCTGCTCTGATTCGTTTGCTCATTCAGTTGACAATGAACTGAAGAAAGTTATGCACATCAAGTATCAGCTCATCGACCGAGATTATACTTACAATCACATCGTGCTGGCTCTTCTATGACAGAAGCTTGGCCTGATGGGTGTGCAAGCCCTGAAGGTTTTGTTGAAGAAAGCCGTGGTCCCAACAATTAGATTGACTACCGTAGATTAGTTCTCCAGAGAAGAAGAGGAAGTTTGACATCAGTACAAAGTAAGTAAAAATGGCACCACATAGAATGAACAACGAAAAGACAAGTGCCAAAATCTCTCCAGTTTTACCAAAGTATGCACGGCAAATCTCTTGGAACTCTACGCTAGTGGGATCAATCTTCTCTAAACAAAAAGCTTCATTAATTTCTTTTCATTGATGTATCAGTGCTCACCTAGTCCTTTGGGACTTTGTAATATCAAATAGGCAGTATAGCAACATAGAAGTTCCATAGCAACAAAGAGGAACGGACCAAGAAATAGTCCTGCCTAAAAGACGTTTGAAATTATTTTTTCTTTAAGTACACGGAAATAAATCTTATGTTTTGACTGCAGACTTCCTGACTGCTATCAGTAGCACAAAATTTGCTCTCTTTTGTTTTCGCTCATTCATGATTTTACTCTGCCCTCGCCGTGGCGCTCGCGCGAACCGAATATCAAGAAGCAGACACTCCAACCCTTCAGGCACAAGCTTACATCAGGCTGTTCTGATTTGATTCGATCGCATACTCTACATGAAGACATTCAACGGATCGTCCCCACGACCCAGCCTCTCACCCCATAAGTTGACCGCCAGCTCCTACCCCCCCCCCTGCCACGATCCATAATACAAAAGGTGTCCAACTCTCCGAAATGCTGCTGCAATGTCTGCATAATAAGCGCTAATCTTTTGGTAAAATTAATAAAACTCCTGCAATGATAAAATCCTTTGCTGCATTGCTTTCTCCTCCAATGATAAGGCTCTTACAAAAACCGTTGAATTCTCATTATTTTACTATAAGTGCGAAGATCAATAAGCCAGTAGGATGACTCAGCAATTTGCTTTGAGAGGTAATGTAAGACATTCGCTAGTTTTCATAAGGTATGCATGCTATCTTAGCGCTTATCAGCAGGCGGAGTTCCCACCTGACTTACGATCACATCATTAGCTTTGAGAGTACTTCAAATAAGAGAACTTCGGTCAAGACTTGAAGCTAAGGAAAAGCTCGGTCACGTACCAAGAGGGTTGAATAGCGCTCTACCCTGCAATCACGGCGCTGACCCCATCGTATTTCCGTTTCCTTCATCCTCTACCTGTGCGTATTTATCTGAGCGGACAAAGTACTGCCCTGCTTCTTATACAAACATCAAGTAAATATAGTGCCGTGCCTTCATAAAATTGTGACAGCAAACTCGTCTGCGGTCCTTGCATTCACACATACGTCACAAGAGCATGAAGCACTCCAGCAAATGATATCACTTTGGTTTTTGACTAATTCAATCACTTTCACTAACTAATAGCTATCACGTGCAATAAAAAGCAATTCGAAAAGCGACGAAAGCCAAAAAATTCGATTGCGAAAAGTAAGCGACGCATGCGAACAAGCCATTTTAGGATTTTATGAATATCCTATACATAAAAGACGGGGCTACTCTTTTCTAGACGCACGGGAAGTATTGAAAAAGATCTCCACATTCCCAAACACCAAATCTTCATAAGAGAGGGCCAGACCGCGACGTATGCAGCGTACACACGTACATAAGATAAATACAAAGATATGGGGTGTAAGCTGCGTACGTCGCGCGGTCTGGTCTAACTTGGAGCTGCTTGAGTGGAATGACTTGCGAAAAAAGCGCTCCGCACAAGTGCACCGACTCAACAAGTATGTTTTATGTAATTATCTTCTTAACTTTCTTGCGACTGCCTCATTATTCGCTTTCATTGCAATGAATGATTCATTTCTTAGGAACAAGGTTAATTTTAATTAATTATCTTTTGTTCTGAGCGCTGTGTTTGACCATACATCGGAGTCGAACAAGAGACTAACTGCGAAAAACCTTTCTGCAAGGCTTGGTGAGCGGAAACTACGTCTCTGAGGAATAACATCGAAATGCTGCAAAGAAACATGAGAAGCTGGGGTATAGAGGAACACTGTAAGCGAAAAAGTACCGCAGAAACTGCTGAATGTTTTAGGAGAGGGCGCAGTTTATCGAAAAACTACCAAATATGAGGTTGAGGACTGCGGCTGTTAAACAACCGATTCGTCTTCTACAAACGTGTAACTTGTCACGGTGAGGGAGGAGTGTCTTAACAAGAATGAAATATTATTTGCAGCAGCCCACATGCAGCACCTTTCAATGAGCATGGACTTGGAAAAGCCACATTGGCAAAGGTCTCAGCGTAAAATTTTCTCGCAGCAGACATTTCTCGCAAAAATCCTTCCTCAAGTTTGAAAGGCAGTTTTAAAATAATTAAAATAGCGTTTTCGTCGCTGTACCTTTCGGCCCCACGATGAAGAGAGCCTGCGAAAGCGGCGTCAACTCTGCGACGCGCAGATGGAAAACGCGAAAATGACGCTTTTCTAGTTTGACCATCAAAGTTAATTGGCTATATTTTCAAGAATGTTTCTGCAGCAAAAATGCAGATTATATGAAATTTCGCATATAACTTGCTCTCAGTGAATTTGTTATTTGTTTTCTTGACGATGAATAGTATAATACTAAGTGAGTTTGTTTTACGAGTTGTCACTTATAGCGTATCATGCGCTGGGCTTGGCCTCTGGAAAGGCTGCTACAACCAGTCATTTCTGCACGTGAAAAAAAAAGTTAAAAAGTGATATATCCACCACTCATCAGAGGTCTCTGCAAGAAACTGTGTGGTGACACAATTTTAGTTCGACAGTGCTTCCTCCATTGCTGATTGCCGAAGCGTTGTCTGAGTCTGTTGTTGGTATACCATGACTGACATTCGTACGTTCAAAGCCTATGCTACAGCAGTTTTAAGCTTACTGATTCGCTCGTGCTTATACCGCAGAATGCACCGAGTTTGATAAGTGACTCTATTCAGTGTTCCTGAAGATTTGGAAGGTCAAATGTCTGATGCCGTAACAGCAATAGGAAATTTCAGGACAGTAATCAAAGAAGGGTCGAAATGAGAGGCAACCGACAAGGAAGGCTATTAACCTAGCTCTCCTTTCGGCAAGAGATCATCGCTCGCTAAAACTCATAGAGCACCAGCCCGTGGACGACTTAGGCACCCTTTGATTCAGATTTTTATCCTTTTTCTTACAGCTATATTTGCTCTCTGATCTACCCTGTCTTCGCAAAGTTATCGCCATGGCTTTTTAAGCAGCCCAGCAGTAACGCCAAACCTTTCCTGAATTCTAAATATTTTTTCTTGATGTTTCCAAAGAGCGCTGGTAGCGGTTCTGTAGAGCAAACCTTTGGCTACATTGACCCATTCTAGTTTACATGGGTCATGTTTCAATTCGTAGAAACTTCAAATGCTTTCGTATGTTTGCTGCAGTTGCGTATTTCATGGCTTTTCCAAAAATCGAGACCTCCGAAGAAATAATTATTTGAGGCTAAAAACAGCAGACTAGGAGTACCTAAAAATATAACCTTATAGTCCGAGAATTGTTCTATTTAATCCATACTTAAAGGCAGCGGCTCGGCAGATTGACCTACCTCGGATTTCGAAACAGATGAATAGGAGGGCCCTCCAAGTAAACCAAAACAGCAACTCCGCGCCGAAAGTGTGAACTCTGCAAGCCAGGGGAGCGGCCCGAGCGCCGCTCCCCTTCCTCCTTTCGCTCCCCTAACACCTTGTTCGGACGAGTATGTTCTCCGCTAGAAAACTTGCCGTCACTTAGCTTGGTAGGGCAGAATTCTTCTAGCGTTCTCTACCTCCTTACTCTGCGTCTTTGACGGCAGAGAAAAACGGCTCACTCGTCCGCGTGCGTCTCAGGCGGGGTTTCAAAAGACGGGGTTTTTCCCCATTTTCGCGCTAAGTAGAGTTCATATCGTGGTTCAGGGGCCGAAATAGCCCTAAATCTGCCAAAATTCCGAAGTTGAAAATCTGCCGAGCCGCTGCCTTCAAGCCTTGACGAAACTTCGGAATGAAATTTTCAAAAAATAGCCTAACTTTGAGCAGATAAAGTAGACGGGTGGAGAATCTTGGCAATTATCAAAAAAAGCATACAAGATTGTGGTTCGATGCATCCGTAAGAAAGAGAAAGCTGCCTCGACTGCATGTTGAAACTCATTCAGGTCTTTATTGTACGTGGTTCTATAGTGGTTTGAAAAAACGGACAAAACTTTCGGGACAACCTAATGAATTTTGAATCAGCTACAAACGCTGATTCCAAATATGCTATTCTTAGCTGCTGCGCACCATTTCGAAGCGAGTAATGGGCTTTTTTACTGTGCGGAATTGGCATACTACTGAACATAGGAAGACGCGTGTAGGCAAAAATCTCAAAAAAGGTGCTTAAATAACATCAAATTGAATCTTTTATCACTGACGGGGAATTCAGCGAAAGTATATAAGCACTCACATGATGATGACGTAATGCCAGCAACTCGATGCGCATGCCAATACCGCGCAGTAAAAAGCGCATAACTCGCTTCGGAATGGTGCGCAGCAGCTAGGATTAGCATGTTTGGAATCAGCTGATTGAAGCTGAATTAGAATATATATATATCTCTTGCCAAAAGACCGAGCTGAGTTAGGTAGATTTCGTGAGTGCTAACTTGCTGTTAACTTGCGTAGGCAGTCTTCGCCCTGTTGCCAGCAAGACGCTAACTCTACCTCGTGCCGCACTCCTGCGCTAAAATTGTAAGAAAGACTGGCATCGACTTCAAAATGTTCACATCATTGGTCATACGACTTTGCACTATCATAACATCTAGCATAATAACTGTTGGAGAGAGCGGTTTGTTTGCCATTTATGCCATAAGCTATGCTGTTGTCTCATACCTGATGTAATGCCCAAGGCATACTCATTAGTGACACGCCCATCAGTGTGTTCCATAGAGTAAATCTGAAAATGAATATATCACTTTGGCGTCTTGCTACCATTGGGGCTTGCATATTCACCTTCATGGATTGGAGTGTTCAGTCATGTTCAAGATAATCAAACTTGGGCGTCAGAGTAAGCACAGGCCTATGCGCTTTCTCAGGTTATAGTCAAATCTTCTCACTCCAACAAGGAAGCTGAATTTTCGCTCTTCTATCAATGCAGAACGTAACACTGATTGCATGAAACGCTTAATAACCAAAGAAATTAACAGTAGTTTCGCATTCAAATTTACAACGATAGCTCAATTACAAGTGAAAAAATTTACACGTTCACATTTTTGATTGTAATCGTAAGCTATCGATGTCCTGGAGAAGAGTTTTTGAGCACGCACTTATTCACTTTTTGGTTATTCGCTTATCGCACTTATTGGTTATTCCTGTTACCTCGGAAAGATTGCACATTTTTGCCTAATGTCAGTAACCTATTTTCCGGCTTATAAGCCGCACCCATCGCAGCGAACAATGGCGCGGAGGCGCCTCTGAAAAGTGATCTAGCAAAGTGAAAACTCAGTGCGTTTTTTGGGTCCTCTTCAGTGCGGATACACATGTCTTCGAAACATTGCGATCTCGATAATAGCTTCTCGTCAATGCATCTTGAGGATATTGAGAATGCGGGTGCTTAGACTGTCTTTTTTGTATCTATTGACTTTGAGGGTGTTTAGGTTCTACTTCCTTTTCTAAATGATACTAGGGATCAAATGAGCTTTAAGTTTTCAAGGATTTTACTGTGGTGAAGTTGTACTTTCTGTTATTCACATTACCGGTGTCAAAGCTGTATCGACTTTTGATTCCGATAACTACTGGTATCTGGACGTACTTTTGTTTCGTGGATTCTTAATAAGTAAATGAGTAGATAGAGTATATTGATGATGATAGATGTAGATATACTTATACGTGAACGAGTGTTTGTTCCTAAGCTGGCTTCGTTCAAAAGATTGTTAAGGAGCCATTTGCAAAAAAAAATGAACTTTGTTAATCGTTTCGTTATGACGTTGTTTTGTTCTGTTTGTTTTGTTGATCTTTATCTGTTTTCCGTAGGTTCTCCCTACGTAATAAAATAAATAAATAAAATAAATTTTGTACCAAACAAATCACAGCAGTTGGTGCTTGTGCGACATCGCACTTCAGCCCGCGCGCGATGAAAAAAATTGCTGCTTATAAGCGAAAATAGAGTATTACAAATACTCTGAAAAAAATAAATTCTAGAATCAGAAAACTTGAAAACAACGGTTAGCAGAACTCTTTTACCCTAAAGTCCACTAACTTATATGACTTGTTAACACACACAAATCGACAGGAACCCAATCTGCGGTGCATAACAAACGCGGAGCGGGAACATGTGCGAAGAAAAAAATTATGAAAACCTTATGTGAATCACGAGTATGGCAAACTCTTTTTTCTTTAAGTGTCAACCAGAATAGTGCGAAGAAAAAGCTGTGATTTTTCTCTATCCTCAGTACCTTTCCACTTCTTGTATATTGCTTATCACTACATCCCGAATCCTTCACATCATTTTCTAAATCTTGAACTTGGACAACATCGACATGGCACCTTCTTTTATTTATCGCTTTACGGAATTTCTGAATGGTGGTGTTTTGCTCCAAGCGCTCTGTGGTGCACGGGGCAATATAACTTCAACTGTCTACTGCTCTTTTGATGTTTTGTTTTTCTTCTCATTTCTGTTTTTTCCTCTATAAGCCTATAGCACCATGTCTTCTCACAAGGATTTTTTAATCTCCAAAAGTTCCTGGTGCCACTTCGCACCAGCTCATGTAGAGGTGAAAGTCTATGACTTGCAAGCTACTTCCTGGAAAAAAAGTAGAGCGTTCGCTGATTTTGCTACGTCACGGTGATAACGTTTCTTCTTTGGAAATGAAGAGAAACTCATTCGCAGCTCATGCGCAAGTAAAAACAAGCTTTTGGTTCTGATAAGCACTTTAATGCGAAGTCGCTACCTATGAGTAACGAAATGACATAATATGTGAAAGTTACTTTTTGCTAAGGCACGAAGCACAAATATGATAAGGGGAATATCATTAGCTTGATAAACTGTCCACAATCTTCAAAAACGTTCAGAACGTGATTGAAGCAAGGAATTTTTTGTAATACAGCCGATTCTAGGAAGTTTATGACCAGGAGTGTTCCTTAATCAGAGGAAGATTTTTTTTTTGAAGATTATTAGTGAGAAAAAATGGAAGCAGGACAAGACGGCAAATTGCAGAAGTTCCGCAGTTAACGAACACATCTAATTAATAGATTGAAGCTAACAATAAGACCCAAGCTCTTTTGACTCTAAAAGTAATGGCAACAGTTCCAAAAAATACTATCACGTTTGGGAACATCATTGTTTTGTAACAGAAATGATGATTGGCTAGAATGTTAGAGTCGCCTGACATTTTTGCCGCTGGAAATTCAATTAAGTATTCAGGTCGCGGAAAGTAATCTCTTTTTCAAACGGGCGCCACATCTCGCAGATCAAAATACTCGAAAAATCTTAGTCGCACTCAGCACAACATTTCATCCTCTTCCAATGGTTATAATCCATTGCGGTTTTACCATCTCAGACAACTGGAAACATCCGCAGAACGTTTTTGGGAAAGCTCCGCCGGGTCACCTGCGGAAGTTTCGTAAACGTGCTGCGAAAGTTCCAAATGAGGTGTTGCGGAAGTTCTGAAGAATGCAAACCACAACAGCAAAAGAGAACACCTATGCGGGATTTGAACCTTACTCTATTGACTGTGAGACTCACCTACTATCCTCTCCCCTACGGCTGACATAATCGATAATGCACTCTAGCTGTTTGGCAAGGCCACATCGTACGAGACAACCATTCAGCACCCTGCGGAGGTGCTGGCATGTCAAAGTGCTGCGGAACCGCTGGAAGTTTCTCGGAAGTTCCGCGGCGCTTTGTAAGAAATCCTATGGATCCCCGCTTTCAACCCAGTCTAACGTGAAAATCCTGCGGAGGTTCGCTCCCATTTTTAATGTTTAGACTTTGCAATAATAACTGCGGAACCGCTGCAAATTTTGCTTGTCCGGCCGAAGTTCCGGTGAATTGTCTAAGATCGAACTCTCGAAAAATTACCAAGAAACACGACCCATGGTTCTTGCCATGGTCAACTTTGGCAATTTTTCTAAATCTTACCCCCCCCCCCCCTCAGAGAAGCCCAAGTAACCTATGGATGGCCAAGTACAACAGGATAAGAAAGGATTGCTTTCTATACCATGACTCGTCGCGATAGAATCTTATATGGTGCCTCCACATTGGGTCAACTCACTTCGTAAAATATGAACAAAAGCAATTCGATTATCATCCGACGCAGCTTTTTTTGCTCTTTTTAGCTGTTTCTTACCAATTGGTGGAGTCGTCGAAGGTGAAGTTATGAATATTCATGTTTTTGAGCGCGCTTCGGGCTGTAAATCTATCTCGAAATATGGTATCTCGAATCCGTGAACGCTTATTTGCTTTGTAAGATTACCTATAAATTCGGTGATTCAATTAGTAATATATCATAGAAGAATTATGATGGAAAGGAGAAACATATAGTTTTGTATTCCGTGGGGTTTGCTCTATTTATAAATTACTTGAACTTCTCCGAAGGAACAGTAGAAAAATTTTGAAAATTAGCGAAAGTTGAGCTTGGTGAACCATGGGTCATTGCCTCTGGTATTTTTTGAGAATTATTAAATTGCATTGCATAAATCATTTAGAAGAGGATGAAAAGTTGTATTGAGTACTACTAACAAGTTCTTTCGAGTATCTTTCATCTGCGGTGAGGCGCTCGTTTCAAAAAAAGAAATTACTTTCCGAAAGGTCTGATATTTGAGCAATCATTCTTTAACATTTTAGCATCTCGATGTAAATTTTTCAATTCATCAAAGCAGCAAGCCTTACTGATAAAAGTCTTTTATCAATATTCAGAGTTCTATTGTGCTTTTGCGTCATTTGCATTGTGATAAAAGATAAAAACTTTTGAGGACGAAGGGTAATCCGTTGATACGCCAGAGTAAAGTGGATGCTCAGGAAAAACTCTCAATCAGCTTATTTGCGGCCCGCGTTTGGCTTTTGATGATACTTCTTACAAAAAGGAAAAAACTTTTCTTTCATATGGACAATGGCTACGTGTTGGCTTACTTTATCTTCGTTTTAATGTTTAACATCGCTGCAAAACTTCTCACATGGGGCAAACTTTACGACTATGACCAAACTTTCACATGAGATGCAAAAACCCCAAAAGTCTTCAATGGTAGAAAAGATGCTGCGCTTCAATCATCACTTGTCGAGTTTGACAGTTTTTGAAGGATAGGATGAAACCTTTGAATGGTGCCTACTTTCTGTACTCTCCTATTTTATTCATTTTTGTGTTATCGTTTTCTACATCCCGCTACAAATTCCTCTCAAAACGTGAAAGTTGCTTTAGCAATTTTCACATTCAAAAATTTCATCTCAATTTCATCTAAGCTGAATTAGTTCGATTTCGATCTAGATCACCTTGAATTTCAAAAGATTTACGAGCCAAAACTGTTGTGATTCTGAAATATCGTGGGGAGAGGGTTAAAGGTTTTAGAGTTACTTACATTTCAAAAAAATTGCAAATTTTTGATGCGTAAAAAATAGTTTATAATTTTTTTGAAAATTCAAACTAAACTGGGAAAAAAACTATTTCGAGAACTGGCTATAGGTCCCCAAAAAACTTGAGAAGCACATTGCAGAAGGATCTTTAGAGTACGTAGCTGAGGTCACGCACTTTCAATCAATAAAAATTTTTGTTGTCCTTCAGGCGGAAATCCTGGGTCTACCCTGCTGAGGAAGTAACTTAATTCGAGGTACCGATTCCAAAAGTAGCATTCGATTTGCTGAAAGAGGGTGGTCCTACGTTGACATCTGTAACTTCGAAGACGAAGCAGGCACACATATGTAGGCATCACAGATTTGTACCAGCTGTCCTGTTTTAGAGCCTA